TAAGCGAATCACAAGAGAGAGAAGTAGAAAATTATTTTTTACAGAAGGGAGAAAATATTCAAAGAGATGATCTGAAATATCTACCGCTGCAGAGAGACAAAAAGCTAAGCAAACGTTTTCTGTAGGCTCGGGATAGATGTCGCCCGATAGCAGTCAACTGTGATAATACAAAGAAAGTCAGCTACGGATAGGATCATAAAACTTACTGTGTATAGAGAGTCTATCATAGCGAATCGATTAAAAATAGTTCCAATCTTCTTAGGATCCGTAGAGGGTGTCCAGAAAAGCTTTTAGCTTTATTTACAATAGACGGTTTTTCCATGGAAGCAGAGAAGTTCACAGCGTTTCTCAGCTATAGTAGCTGCGAACGCCGATCGAAGGGAGGCGTGAGCATTGCTTTGAGTTCAGAAATATTTTTAGACCTCAGGGATCTTTTGCCTTTTATATTTATATTAGATTACGAACCTTACACATGAAAACAGAAAAACATCAGGAAAGCTTAGTTAGACCCCCAGCGAGCGCCGACCGAAGGAAGGCGTGAGCATGTCTTCGATTTAAAAGTCACGAAAGGGAGTTCAGTAGCGCAGATCCAGGTTATTAAAGTCAAGGGACCGAGCGAGTGGAGACGAGCGTTACCTTGTATATTATTGATTACCACGTTTTCTCTTTAAAAAATCTTTAAAAAGATGTTGAAAAAGTAGAATGACAACTTGCGTCTGTCAATGAATACATTAATGATGTTTACCGTACTCTAGAAATCTGAGAGTTTTTTTTTCAGGAAAAAATTACTGATGCATCAATGGTAACGTTTAATTCTAATTTTAGAAGAAATTTTTCTCTGCCCTTTTTGTAAAATAGGCAGACTATCTATAAGCAAATGATTGCACAATCTAACTGAATACAAGATTTTTACAAATTTAAATAAGGCAAGACATAGGACGTAAAATCAGTCGTCCTTCATATCTCTACTGCATTCATATAGATGAGATATTTTTACAAAAGAGAAAAGATCGTTAGTAAATATCAAAAATTCATAAGAGTATTTCAAGCACGCAAGATTAAATTAAAAGCATGGCAAGAATATTTTTTTTAAAATTTTATTGAAAATAAATAGTCGGTCGGTTCAGTCTCTATCGAGAAAATAAGCAAGATGAACAACATGCGAAATCTCATTTACTTCGAAGTTCTCCCAGATGTTTAGTGTCAGATTGCGCTAGTGTGTATATTTTTCTATTTAAAAACTTACTCTTGAATATAGGGATAGAGCGAATATTTTTCTTTGAACGCTGATGCAAAAATCTTCTCAAAATGCCTATTGGTTTTTGAGTCCGATACAAAATGTGGGGAGCCCCCTTCGAGTGTCTTTTTCTGCCTCAAAGTACTCTGAATGAAGTTTGGTTTACCATAAAAATCATTTAAGCAAAATAGGGAAAATATTTAGATGGATTACAGAATAAGCAGAGGCAGCAACTCAAAATATATTATTATCAAAATATTGTTGCTTGAAAATTATGCAAATTTTGAAGATTATAACTCATGTGTTGGTAGCAGATACGATTTACATTGAGCCCTCATGATGTCTCTGATTGATCACACCATATCATGGTATGTTTCACATGATCACCGTCCAAAAACCTTGATTAGTTTCATTATCCTCCCCTATACAATCATATACATTGTATATCAACAAAACTATTGTTGCATATACATTGAGCATATTTCATCTTGTCTTCTTTTTTGTTCTTGTCGATGACATTCACCGAGTATATCTCAAATGATATCAACGGATGAGAAGATGGAAGTTTTACTCACAATTTTTCTCTTTATTGTGGTGGTTAAAGATCGAAGGTGTTTATTCAACCATATCGAATCATTTAACAATACATTGTCGAGAATACATAAAATGGACACGATATAGTTAAATAAGATTTGTGCTAAAAAGGTAGGGTTCATAGACATGGTTCATAGACCTGGTCACGTGTTAGAATAAACTAATAAAACTAGAAAATATAAACAGGTAAAAACTCAGGCGATAGAAGTTCTTTAATTGTCAATAGAACCAACGTCGACTATGGCATATACATTGATGTCAAACAAAGCGATTTCAGAACAAGGAGAGCACTTTTCTGCACCAAAAACACTGGACAATTGTCAACGTTATCTAATAAGCTATCATTCAAAAAAAAGCACTGATATTTAAACGTGTAGTTTCGGTTAATATTAAAGCTGATCAGACGTAGCCTTCACCGTAAAGTCAGATCGTCAAAAACTTTTTTGTTTTGTGGTTGTATCCTCCCTCTACCCGCTATAGAAATTCTGGCTACATGACTAATCAAATGGGAGATTGTTTGAGGTAAACAAAATCGATTTCAACGTTTATTTGTAGATATTCTACAGTAGTGTAAACAGAGCAAATAATGCTCCGAAATCCACCACATAACTTACCCCCTGATTTCAATCAGAATTTCGCCTCATTCTCTCTGGGAGCCGGGCAATCGAATTATGGACAATTTCAAGAACAACGACCAGCCGGTACCTATTCTACCAATTTGAGTATGATGCCATGGCAAACACCCGAAGATTTGCAACAAACATATCAACATGGCCATCCAATTGTTCGACAATTTAACAATAGTGTTATTGACGATTATTACAAAAAATTCTTGAGACCAATTACAGACTATGTCGCAATACCAACAAATGGTCAACCCACATATGTTTATCAAAATTTGACCACGAATGGACAACTAACGAGCGTGCAGCAAACAGCAGGTATGGCAAAAAATAGCACTTTCTTCCCTCTCATACTATGCTGTTCGTCTGATAGATCAATCGAACGGATATCAAAATCCTGTTAGTCAGCTCGTCCAAGCACAAAAACCGACGGATTATGTAGAGGAAAAGAAACACAAGAAAAAGCATAAGAAAAAATCATCATCCAAATTAAATGGAGAATTGAAGACAGAAGAAACAAGCAACAATACGTTGTCAATCGCTGATCAAAAACAAGAAACAACAGATCAAGATAAACAATCTGAAACATTAACGGTAAAGAACGCATCAGATACTCATCATACCGACCGTAGTTCGAGCAAAAAGAAAAGTAGCAGCTCAAAATCGCATAAAAGATCATCATCCGGCCCCATTCCGCAGCATACATCGTCAGCAGCGAATCCTATTCAGACACAACACAGCCAGCCACAGCAGGTTGAGTATCAACAACAAGTACCACCAGCACAACAATTTCGCTATCAACCACCTATTGATCCTTTCCAAAAAATGAGACATATTGTCCAACCAACAGCACCTCCGACAGTGAACTATGGGTAAAACCATGTAGTATTTGTAACTATCTTACTTTATTTTCTGTTTTCACTAGACCAAGTCAAGCCAGTTTACCAATGAAAAACGAAATGAATCCTGTTGTCTATTTTGAAATTGAAATTGATGATGATCCACGAGGCCGTCTTGTTATGGAACTATTTCAACATGCTCTACCACGTACAGCACAAAATTTTCTAGCACTGACAACAAATCAGCTGGGTTATGGATACCGTTTGTCTTATTTTCATCGTATAATACCAGGTTTTATGGCCCAGGCGGGTGATTTTGAACGTTCGGATGGTAAGTAGCATAGATCTGATAAATATATTCTTTTATTATTGATATTCTCATTCAGGTACAGGTGGTTATTCCATATATGGCGATAAATTTGAAGACGAAGGCTTTATGTTTCGACATGATCGTCCTGGTCTCTTGTCAATGGCGAATAGTGGTCCGCATACGAATGGTTCACAGTTTTTCGTTACATTTGTCCCCTGTCCTCATTTGGATAATAAACATGTTGTGTTTGGACAATTAATACAAGGGTTTCATTTGTTAAAAGATTTGGAGATGAGCGGTTCGGACGGCGGCGAAGTTACAAGAGAAGTGAAAATAGCTGATAGTGGTCGGTTGCAATGAACAGTGATAAACGATAAAATGCGTCCTAAACAATATCAACATCCATTTACTAACTATACTGAATCTGTTTTTTTGCACATAGTATTTTCCTACACTAACGTAGTCAGTATTTCGTTCCAGCATTTATCTGTCAACGGTTCATGAAACAAATTATTGTTTCTTTTTCATTTCTCAACTTAAAAGCACCTTGAGTTATGATTTCTACGAATCTAAACGCTTTTTTACTTTCTCTGGGAATAAAATTCTTATATAAAAATGAACTTTCATACACTTTCACCGGAGTATTTATTGATTACTGAGCGTGATCCATAGATATTAAAATATATTCTCGAGATTCTTTTATTATTGAACTATAACGCTAAATTTCGAATTTCTGTTCATATCGATTCCAGTATAAATTGGGGCGTAAGATGGAAAAGACGCGCTCGTAAGAAACCTATATACTTCCTGATGTGATCATATAAAAACCCTACTAGGATCCTTTTAGGATTTAGTTGTTTGTAGAGAAAACCTTCAACGGTATGTCTATAGAATAAAACAAAATTTAGTCAAGTATTGACAGTGTTATTAATCAATTAAATTTAAATTTTAATTAAAATTTGAATTGCTAGTCCCCGTTTTGGAAAGCTTACAGTTCAATCAAAAATAAACGCAGAAGTGTCGTTGTTGCGTAGCTTGTGAGCCAATGATCAATGCTTATAGTTTCATTAAAAAAAATTTTAAATTACTTTTTTAGAGTATGATATTATAATTAATAAGTGCCAATTAATGTTGATTAGCGTCACTCTGATAGATTACACCTTTATTTATAAGTTACTGATTTCTTGATGATCGTGACGGAATATACCACTTGATAGGGATTTTTAAGCGCTACAAAACCCTGTACTTGCTTTCTCAAAAATTTACTAATTAGCAGTTATTTTAACCGATTTTTATATAAATTGGACGTCTATGCGATTTATTACCGTGTGCCCACAAAAGCCAAATTTTGAATAACTTTTGATTGACAATAGCTAGAAAGTTGTGCTTTCCATCATTCGATAGCCAGGATAGCGCCAAATCTTTATGTAACAACCGAGCTTTTCAAAACTTGTTGAAAATCCGGTTCCAGAGGATCTGGGGTGATAAAAAAACCGAACCCGAAATCCCACCAAAATATGATGTTTCGTTTGATACTATCAACAGTCTACAGTTTAAACAATAGTTTCTTCAGCTGACGTAATGTGAAACAGCGCACCTCTCTACATATTTCTGAAAAGTTGTTGAATAAAAACCTTTTCCTAAAGTAACTAAAAAAATTAAGTTTAAAAATTAAATTTTTTCAACAATATTCTTCATTTTAAAATTTAAATATCTTGGTCAGCATAATACATAAACAAAATATTCTTTTTATCATTCGATACCCAATTTAATTCTCTACAATCGATATAAGATTAGTTTTTTCAAACATTGCTTTCTCAGTTTGTTATAATAATAATACCGGGAAAAAATAAGGATATTTCGTGCATGTATTATACCGGTTTCCTTATATGGATATAAAGTGTGATTCCCAACGGTGGATCAAGAAAAATGCCTGAGCATATTCTGTATGATATGTCTCAGAACATTGATCGAATGATTCAGGAAGGTAGAACGTCGAATGAAAATGTTTCAAAAATAACAGGTCAACTGCGGTTAGGCAACATTATGAAAAGACATGGATTCCAGTGGTTTGGGTACTTGAACACAATGGAAAATACAAACATGCAGATGTCACTAGTAAAGAAAATCGTGTTCTCTTATTTTTCTGACTTCAAACGACCGCGAAATACCGGTGTAAGAAAATGGTGCACCGCGGTGAAAAGATGAGGTCAGATGTGATATCGAGAACTCTTTCAAATCCAAGACTGAAGAAGAGACCTAATGGAAAAAGTAAAGGACGTGAGCTGATCAATAAATCTATACAAGTGAAACCCGTACGTCAGTATATCAAAACCATATTACGGGAGTATACAGAGTGAGCAAAAACATGAAGAGCGGAAGAGCAAGCAAAAGCCAAAGGTGGTTACAGCTAGGGCTGGCTGTTTACCATTACTGTTACTAGTAACAAGTAACAATTTTGTTACTTATTACTGGTAATTGAACACATCATTAGATACAATTTTTTATTCTAAGAACCCCTTTCAAACTCGTTTTTCAAAAAAGTTCATTTTTCATCCAAAAATCCTGATTTTGAACTTTTCAGAAACTGAATTTTTAACCAAAAACATTTTTTAAAACAAATTTCTAAAAATATACTTTTGTAGAGAATTCAATTTCAAACTGGCGTATTTGTTTTTGAGTTTACTTGCTGTGTACAATTTTTACATAGTTGTACAGTTTCCGACTTACTACCCAGTTTTTGAGCTCTTATTTTAATACAGCAACTTGATTTTTGCGCAGATCGATCAAATATACAAAGAACACAGGAAGCTGTGAAAATAAAAGCTTCACTATCGTGTTAAGTGCCTCAAATATGCTTGACAAAAAGTGCGTAACACCGTGACGTTTTTATTTTGCATCTTTCTCCGTAGCGAAAAGCGCTAGAAGAAATTTCTTTTTACCGTTAGATAGTGAGAGTAATAGAGATACTTACTTGGAGCCAGAAAAATGAATACACTTGTCCATAATATACTAACTACCCAAGCACAAAAAAAAATCATGAAGCGGGCGCTGCATCTAGATTAAAAGGTACATTTATCTAGATGCAGCTAGATTGAAGCTAGTTTCAATTGGGTACAACTAGTTGCTATCGATTAATCGGGCATTTCATTGCTCGATTAATTGGCCCATGCAGTGACCGTTTCAGCTAGTACACAATTTCAGCCAGCATGCAGCTAGATAAATGTACCTTTTAATCTAGTTAATCTAGCTGTAAGTGGCCGCTGCAGCTACTTCTGCAGCTAGATTTTCTCGCTTACTTAGTTTTGCTTGGATATTTAGATAAAATGAAAAGACAACATTACTCACGATATGAGTAAAATTAAGGAAATTTCGTCTAATAGGAAACCAAGTGTTTTTGTGAGTCTTCTGAACTGTTCTAAGTTTGAAGATATATTAAAAATGTAGTTGTAAAAATGTATCCGCAGTGCAATGCATACGCTATTATATATCATGTGACTATTTAATTTAACTAAAACTCTATACATTAGGAGTATACTGTGTATTTGCTGAAAATTTCTTTTTACCGTTAGATAGCCCGTCAATTACTCTATACATTTTGCTCTAGAAGTTTCCTTTTCACATAATTAACTTCACAGGAGATTAAAGAATTCCCAAGAGCACTCGAAAAAAAGGGTCTTTTTTCGTAACGCCGTGACGCGACACTAAAATCCTTCTCAAAGCCCAGTGCAACACCCCGAAAACTTCATTTTCACAGCATAAGTAGAGCATGGTGAACTGCATCGATTGACGTTTGAACGAATTTTCTAGCTACTTTAGTTTCCGAGATAACGGAAGTTTAGTGCGTCAAAAACGCAACGGCGTAACGTATGGACAAGCCGAGCCACCCCTTGTTACAGCTCAACTCAAAGTAACAGAGATACTTACTTGGAGCCAGAAAAATGAATACACTTGTCCATAATGTACTAACTATTTCAAGTCGCAAAAGATTATCAAACATGTGAAAGCTTGTGCAAACGACTGATGTAAGCAAAAACAGAATACCAAGCTTTAGCCGAGTAACTATAATGGAATGTTGAAAAAGCTGGATACTAATGCTTTGTTGTGTTTTATGTTCTATGAAGAATAAACTGAAAATAAACCAAACGAACTTCCTTGCATTCTTGATGATGCACCAAAAATTTATCTTTTTATTTTCAATTGTACTTTTTCATCTTTACTCTATACCGCAGGTGAAGGACATGTTATCTATCAAACTTTATTTTATAAGAACCAATAGATTTTGAACTTCTCTTTCACACAAAAAGATAATTTAAAGTGCTGTGCTGACCAAGAGAGAGTATGGTGGACTAAAATAGCGATTTTAGCACTCAGTTCTCGTGTATCATTAATACGATTTTTAATTAATTAATTTTAGCTTCCAAATTTGCATTCAATATATAAATTTTGCTAATTCTATGTATGTTCCAGTTGGCTGCCGATGGTCAGGTGTATAATTATTTGAAATGTTTGTGAACTTCGGTTAGTTGTCAAAATAAAGACCATGTTGTAGACTATACGACGCAGACTATCCAAAAACTTAGGATTAGTACATCCAATAATGCTAATTTTATTAGAATTGAGCTCACATCAATAACACGTCTATAAACCAATTGTAAATATTTGCATGTTGAGTAGCATCTTGCAACATCTAGAGTACACGAAAAACGAAATTGCTTTTAATTACCAAGTTTTCTGTAAGAATGGCAATGTTAATTCTAACGATAACTGCAAGTGTTTTTAGTAATTCTAATGATGTCTAAAAATCTTTTCTAATATAACTAATCCAATCATTTTTCAAAATACAGTTGACCGCTGTTAATTTTATAAATTAAATACCAGTGTTTTGAGTCATTCATTGTAAACATACGTATATAAATAATAAGATCAACTATTTATAATTAGATTTGGTAAAAAATATAATGATTCATGATAACCATATTTGTTTGGACTTTTCCATTCCTCAGGTCCATACTGTTCTTGAAGAAATGTAATGGGGACAATCTGAAATGTGTAGTTTTGAAACAGTTCAATGTTTTCGGGTTTGAATATGCTGAAACGGAATCGACATTGTTTACGTGGAAAGGTATCACAGCGTCCATTATACCCTGCACACCAATAAGTATCTATTCCGTTGACTTTTTCGGGGTAAAATACGAATATATCAAAATGAATCATCGAATTGGGACATGTAAATGTCCATTCTTGGCCATCATCTATCCTTCCATAAGTGTAGAGCAGTTTAAAATTTAATTCCTCTAGAACTTTGAGAAGTTTGTCTGCTTTGTTTTCATAAACTAAATCGTGAATAAATAATCCGC